TCCAATCATTTATTCCTATTTGGAAAATGATGATGTATTTTTGATTATCGCAACAAAGTTTCAATTAGAAATGATTAAAAAATTTGGTTATGAAAAAATCTGTGTAGACTCTACCCACGGTACCACAGAGTATGACCTTCTTCTTACTACACTAGTTGTAGTGGATGAGTATGGTAATGGATTTCCTTGTTGCTTTTGTTTTACCAAGAAAAAAGACACCAAAACATGGATCACTTTTTTTACAAAAGTTAAAGATAGAACTGGCAATATAAACACTAAGGTTTTTATGAGTGATGATGATCCAGCATTTTATAATGCTTGGTGCAATGTCATGGGTAATGCTGAACATAAACTTCTCTGTAGTTGGCATGTTGATCATTCATCAAACAAATACAGACAAAAATTAAGGGTTCATTTGAAAAGAAAACCTACGTTTATAAAACACTCAAAATATTACAACATGAAACAAATGTGGAAGATTTTGAAAATATGTTGGCTGGAATATCTGATGAATTGAGAGATGACAACGATATAAAAGAATTTTATCGTTACTTTCAATGTAATTATCTTAATAGAGTAGAGCAATGGGCATATTGCCATCGTAATTTATGTGGCATCAATACCAATATGTATTTGGAATCTATACATAAGACCATCAAATATTTTTATTTAAACGGAAAAAAAAATAAACATATGGATCAATGTATAAACGCATTACTGAAGTTTATACGTGACAAGACTTTTGAAAGGTTTATTAAATTAGCAAAAAATAAATACTGCAGTAAAGAAGATAAAATTATGATGAGCCACAATGCTGCTGTTAAAATATGCGATGCCAAAATTGAACGTATGTCTCCTACAACTTGGAAAATAATTTCTACTACTGAAAAAGAATCATCCTATGATGTCAGTAAAGTACAAGAAATCTGTGTTTTAAGCAATTGTACATTGAAATGTCGCTTATGTAATATATGTAATCATATATATACATGTGGCTGTCCAGATTTTATGATTAGATCAAACATTTGTAAACATATTCACTTAATTTTACTGTCAGAAGAGCATTCAGTTCAGACTTTTTTCACACAGCCCGATGAATCAACTGAATAGGTTGATAATTTTGAAAAACTTCTAGTGAACCAAGATATTACAGAACCTGTTGAAAAAGAAAAAAAATTAATTATTAACAAATTAATGATAGGTGTCGGTTTAATGAACTCTAATGATTATTCAATGGACGATTGCACTGATGTACAGAAGAAAGTTGATTCACTTCTGAATACCATTCAAAGAAAAAAAAGGAAACTAATAGATACTAACAACATAGAGCCTTCCAATAAAAAAATTGATAAACAGCTTCGACTTGTAACAAAAAAAACCAATTGTAAATCTCAACTTCAAAATATTACTACTGAACGTGAAAAAATTGAAATAAAACAGTTTTAAAAATACTCCAGCAGTAGGAGCTGAACGAAAAATATTACACATCCATAATACAAATGACCATACATATTAATTATTATATTATTAATATTATATTATTTTTTTTTTTTTTTTTTTTTTTTTTTATTAATTTTTAAAGGCATCAACTGCAAGGTTATTAGCCTGTGTTACATTAATCATAGGGTTTACAATATTACGTTACATTAAAACACAATTAAATTAGTTACTTAATGATTTAACTTATACTATACTTAATGTATAATCTTATATAATATATACATTTTTTAAATAATAATGATATTAAATGAGGTGCGGCAGTTCTGTTCTGTTTACGAAGTTGATAAGTTTTTCGGACGCCTCTGGAGTGGGTGCAAGTATCTCATATAGGGTCCCCGGAAGTTCCTGTTGGATACGTGTTTCATTGACCTGGTGACATTCAAAGAGGATATGTTTGACTGACATTAGAGTTCCACATGTAGGGCATGTGGGAGGGTCCTCTTTGGCCATGAGGTAACCGTGCGTCATGCGGGTGTGACCTATCCGCAGGTGGACTAGGATTACCTCGTCCCTTCTGGACATTATGAATGGTTTGGGCCAGGGTAATACTGATTGCTTTTTTTCTCTTAGTTTATTATTATTGCAATTGGTCCAGATGTTTTGCCATTCGTCCATGGACTTGAATTTTGTTGAATTTTGAAAGTCTTGGTCAGATATGAGGGGGCATACTTCAAAAGAGGAGGAAATAATGGTTTCTTTGGCTTTTAGGTCAGCTTCTTCATTACCTATTATTCCGACGTGTCCTGGGATCCATGCCAGCGAAATAATATTTTTACGTTCATTGAGCTCGTTAATTATTTGGCTGATAACTGGTTGTGATGTGTTTAAATGATATATACTAATTAGATTGCTTAATGAATCGGACATTATTAGATATTTCTTATCATTAGTATAATGGATACTTTGAATGGCTACGAGTATCGCTAAGGCTTCTGCCGTAAAGATACTACATAAATTATTGGTTTTTAATTGAATATTTATATCATTTGATATTACAGCTGATCCTGACTTCTGTTCGATTTTCGACGCGTCGGTATATATGTGTATATGATCCGGGTAAGATTGCAGCAGTTCGTAATGTAAACATTTGTTGTGAAATGATAAGCTTAGGTCTATTATATTTCTATTAAATCTCCAAGGAGGTAGCTTTAATTCTGTGTTTTGGATTATATTATTGATGGTAGTTTCGTTTTTTTTTAATAAAATCTTGTTGTCTTTCATATAGTGGATTGAGATGAGATGCAATTATTGGCTGTACCTGAAAGGTTTTTTTTATGATTTTATTGTATACGGGATTATCTTGATGTTTGGACATTTTTAATATGTACTTGGTTTCGAGATGTTTTCTTCTTATGAGAATTCACCAGATGAGTTTTTTATCGAATGTTAAACCTAGAATTTTAACATTGTCGCTATAGTCGAGCGTTGTATTTTCAAATTGGATATTCGGTTTCACTATTTTCCTTTGGCGGGTGAATAGTATACATTTAGTTTTATTTGGAGAGAAAGAGAAACCGGTTTCGAGGCTCCATTTACTAAGCTTATCGAGTGTGAGTTGTAATTGGTTTTTAATTGAACTTACATTTTTTCCTTTACAATAGATCAGTGCATCGTCAGCAAAAAGTTTTATCATTGTGGGTGGCGGTACTTGTGTTGTCATTTCATTAATTGCGATAAGGAATAGTGTTACGCTAATTGATGAGCCTTGTACTACGGATCCATGTCAATAGATAGTGGTCAATTGATAGCGCGACAATTTATAGTATATTACAATTGATAGTATACGATAATTGATAGTGTTATGACTTATTTATTAACAAAGTTGTCAATAATTAAAAAAATATTACATATACCTAATAAAAAAATTCGAATAAAATTTTGATTCTTCACAAATAAACTTAAACAAAGTTGTCAATAATTAAAAATATAATATAATAGTACCTAATAAAAAAATCAAACTTGCAGTTGAAAATTATGCGCAACCCCTCGTAAATAATCATCTATACTTCTATTATTATAATCACTACATATATTTTTAAGTTTTTTTGCTCGATCATTGTATTTTTTTTTTTTTGTTGGTGGTTGATTTCCTGCAACTAGTTGTTAAACTTTCAATCGATTGACACGTTCTTCTTTTTGTAGTGCAGTAATAAATTTCCATATAGATGGATGAATCGATGAATTCAACATTGACGAAAAGCAGTTATGCCAGCCCTCCACTGAATTATTTGTTTGAGGCAAATCTGCTTCCACAAGAGAAAAACAGTTCCAAATTTGAATATTGAATTTTGGTTCTCTACGATGTCTAAGTTGTAAACGTCCAATCCAATTACTTTCAAAATAGTCAATAAGTGGTGTTAAAAGCTCCTCGTTGGTTGAAAAATAATTAGTCTCAATTAGAGTTTCAAATGATTCAATAACGTCTTCTTGAGGTACGAATGCTAAAGCTGGTAACATGCGAACATGTAGAGCGAAAAATAAGTTAATTCAATCAAATAAAATTAATTAATTTAGTATAACTTAAATATAAAAGTAAATGTTGTCGAAAACGTGGTACACTATCAATTGTCATAATCTATCAATTGTCGTATACTATCAATTGTCGCGCAATCTATTGTCCACTATCTATTGTCGCACTATCAATTGACCACTATCTATTGACGGTATACCTTGTACTACACCATTTTCATTTGCAAATGGATCCAATAGTGTACTTTTAATTTTAACTTGAAAAGTTCTTTCGTTTATATGGTTGTTTATGAATTTGAGCATGTTTCCATGAATGTTCAGTTTTTGTATTATTTTTAAAACCCGGTGTCTCCAAACGGTGTCGTAAGCTTTTTTTAGATCCAGGCTGACAAGTATTATGTTTTGTTTGTTTACTAATGCATCGGCGATGTCGGTGTGTAAGCTGGCCAGAATATCATTTGTAGATCTATTTTTTCGAAAGCCGTGTTGGTGGGGTGACAGCAAATTATGTTTTTCAAGATACCATATGAGTCTGTTATTCACAATTTTTTCTATAATTTTACTCATCGTATTTAGCAATGATATGGGCCGATACCCTTCAGTGGTGTGCTGGTCTTGACCATCTTTCGGGATTGGCACTACTATTGCTTGTTTCCAATTGTTCGGGAAGGATCCTTGAATCCATAATTTATTATATATTTTAAGAAGAATTTCTTTTGCTTTAAATGGTAAATTTTGAATAAAAACGAAAGGAATGTCATCAGGTCCGCAACTTTTACTTCTGTTGTGGTTCAAGCTACTAATAGTTTGTCCAGGTTAAATATATCGTTAAGCGCAATACAGTCGTTATTAATATCTATGCTGGGTTCGTATATTATTGGATCCTTTTGTTCATATTGTTTTTTGATTGCTATGAATTCTTCTCTGAGTTGTTCGTCACTACTATTTAATTTAAATTTTTTGCCTAGTATGTTTGAAATGTTTAGTGGTTCCGTAATTATATTGCCGTCATTCATGAGTATTTTAATTTGTTAAGAGGCGGAACCTTTGAATTTTTTAATTTTGGTCCACAACTCTTTGGGGCTTGACTGTGATGTAATCGATGTTGTAAAATTTCGCCATGAATTTATTTTACTAGTTTTAAGTATATTGCGGGCTTTGGCTCGGATTTTTTTGAATGCTATTAGGTTGCCTGGGCTTTTATTTTTTTTAAATTTGTTAAATGCCTGCTTCTTTTCTTTTACTATATTGTCGCATTCTGAGTTCCACCAAGGGACTGGTGACCTTTTCCCTTTGTATTGTGTTTTTCCTATTGCGGAGTGAGCAGCGTGAATTATTGCATTAGTGAATGTTGCAACATCGTCGTTGATATCGGAATTTACGGTTATTGAATTTTCTATATTTTCTATTTCATTGTTAAATATTTCTGAGTACATTTGCCAGTTAGCGTCTTTGAGTCTCCATCTATTGTTTGTTTCACCTGGATTTTGGTTATTGTCAAATTTGATGTATATGGTTATTGGCCAGTGGTCACTTGAGTGGATTTCGTCTAGTACATCCCATTCTAAATATGTTGCTATGCTAGAGCTAGCGATAGACAAGTCTATTGCCGAGGTATTGCCGTTATACTGGTTGAAATGGGTGGGCTTGCCGTTATTCAGTAGGATTAATTCGTCGTTGTCTAATATGTCTTCGATCAATTTACCTCTAGTGTCGGTTTTTTCGGAGCCCCACATAGTATTGTGAGCATTTATATCGCCGAGAAAAATGAACGGTGTGGGTAATTGGTTAATTATTTGTATTATATCTTGTTTGTTGATAACCTGACTGTTAGGTAAGTATAAATTACAAATGGTGATGTGTTTTTTGAATGTGATTTTAGTGGCTGTAACTTCTAGTTTAGAGTTAATTGGTATGGACACTGAAGGGTATGATTTATGTACATAAATAGCGGCGCCCCCGCTAGCTCTATTGCCGTGTTCGCGATTTTTGTGATAGCTATTGTAATTAGTTAAGGAGGCGACGTAATCTTTTTTAAAATTTGTTTCTTGTAAACAAATGACTGCGGGTGTTATTGTTTTGATTAGGATTTAAGTTCGTGTAATTTGCTATAATAACCATTAATGTTCCATTGTAAAATTCGGTAATTGTGAGATATCATTGTAATAGGTATGAGATTTGTGATATTTTATTAATGAGGCAATTATGTTAATTGAATGGGTTTTTAATGTCGTAACTTTCGTAACTAGATACTTCCTTATCAGTCAACGCATTGAAAAAGGACTTGTGAATTCTAGTTAATCTGTTTTTACCACTGAGAGAAGTTATTTTAGGTCTAATTAAATCAATTATTTTGAGCATATTTGTAGAGCTGATATTAAATGGTACGCATTCTGCTCGTGGATTGTTACTGTCTAAACAATTTTCTATAAGTAATTTGAATTTGTCGTAGTTAATAGGTATCTTCTTTGTTTCGTTAAATATTGGTTTGCATGGATGGAGGTGTTCCTCCATCGTTTCTATGAAATGCTCGGTGGACGATTTAAGTTTTTTTTTGGATCGATAAGGTAATATTTTCTTTCGTGTTTTTATTGCCAATCTGGTTACTTTTTAGTGTTTTTGGTGTATTATGTAATGTGGGGGATCGTGGTGGTGTTGAGGATGAAGCGGACGTCGAAGGAGCGGGTCTTTTGATGCCCCCTGCCTGTGTGGGTTTTTCAGAAGTAGGTTGTAAGGAAGATATATTTGGTATGGCTAAAATACCTTTTCAAATAAATTATCAGCATTACTGTCCGATACCGTGGTATTTTCATTAGTGTCCACTGTAGGAGCTTGGTCGGAGATAGGGCTTAGAGAATTATTCAATTCAGACGGTGATGGTCTTTTACCTTGATCGACTGGCTCTTGGCTTTGAGAGATCATACTAGTTGTTTGGTGGGGAATGTTTTCAATAATAGTTGATGGGTAAGTAGAGGCGTCCGGTATGTTTGATATATTTGGTATTTTCTGTGTGTGATTTTTTGTATTATGGTCTCCGGTGGTAGGAGTTGCGTTGATGTTGCGACTAGATGATGTTTTATTTTCGATTACGTTTTTACAGTGATTTGTTGTGTGGCCGTTTTGTTTGCATAGATAACAAATTACAGTGTCATCAGAGAGAAATAATCGATAATCAGTTTGGTCAAAATTTATTAAAATTGAACTCGGCATTTTTTCGTGGTCATCAGGGTGTATATATAGTTGTCGTCGAAAACTGCCTATATGATCATACTCCTCATTACCAAAACCGGCTTTCATAAATGTAATCGGAGAGATAATTCTAATCGGGATATTGGTAATTGCTTTTGTGATTGTATCATGTGGAATAATAGGTTGAACGTTTGATATAATAATTCTTTTGGCCGGGTTGATAAGACGGCGGTACGTTATTTGTATGTTATTTACGACGATGTAAGGTTGTAGAGTGATGATTTGCTCAACAATGTCCTTGCTGGCAAAATATATGCAAAACCTGTTGTTGGATATACGCGATGCAAATTTGATATTTTTTGGAGATGTTATTTGACTGAATGCTTTTATGTACTCAATTTGAGGGACATCTTCAATTGTGCTAAATACTATAGCTTGATCTTTCTTTGGGAATAGTGAGTTTGCAGTTGTTTCTGCGAATGTTTTGAGAACTTTGAGTTGTGGTTCTGAGGAAGTTGAGTTAAGATTGTTTGAGTCGAGAGTGTCCATATTGATGGACATATCTGCAGGAGAGGTTTCCTACTATGGTTCCTACAGCTGTGGTAGTGGGGGACCAAAATAAGATAACATACCTTCTTAATTGCGGTGTTTATACTGCTATCGGAAGCTATAAAATGCGATAGTGTACACGTGATACACGTGTGTATCGGTCGGTTGCTTAACACGTACTGTGTATATTATTATTATCATATTTTATTCTAAGATTAAATTACACTGTTAGAATAAAGTAAATACTTGTACATGACGTACATGTTGATCCTATCTTATTACTTCCTTGGCTTTTAATACGCTCTATCCCACGTGATTTACTACTGAAGTATCCACTACGATGACAATGGTAATAAGTTCGTTTTGCATTTTTAATACTAGCTGTTGATTTTGTAATATATGAACAAACATTTTCTTTTTCAACCTTCTGTTTCCATTCCTTAAAATCTGCAAAAAATTATATACCTACTTAGTGAATATTCAGGTATTCATTTTATTTAATTCTTAGATTAAATTACACTGTAGTCCAGTATGGTAAAGTATTTAAGTAAATACTTGTTTAATTAAGTATTCATAATACTTTCTGAATGAATGTATTGGTATCTGTTTTTATATGCAATATTAAAAGTATCTTTTATAATACTGTACTGTTCACATTTTTAACAGCACTCCAGCATCAGAAATTGGACCAAATATACTACACATTTACACGTCCATAATACGAATTAGTAAAAACCAAACCAAAAATATTGATCAATCTAATAATTATTTAACAATAATAATAAAGTCACTATTGTATTTTCTATTAAAAATTTCCATTTCTAATTGTTTTTAGTTTAGAAGATTTCATTTTTTGAATTCCAATATTAGGGTTTAGATAATCGAAGCAAGTGTTCATTTCAATTTAATTATTAATTTATTTTCCAAAAGAAATTTAATATAGTTATTCATAAGCAACTAAACAATTTGGAAATAAGTAATTCATAATGCTTATTATTAATAAATTATCAATTATCATCCATACATTTTCTGCATAAATATTTCCTCTATAAACCTTATAACCATATATTCAAATATGTATTTGTTAATAATTATATAACATACCTACAGCTTTATGATAAAAATGTAATATATTTCTATGTAATATACCAATAATAACATTAAATAATATAAGAAAGCGCATATTATTTACATTATACCAACTTATACTCTGTCCAGCGAGAGAACACGCTGATTCTGCGCATCTCCCCGCGTCTCCTTGCTATCGAAACCGGTTCCCCTGTGGCAGAGTGTTGTGTGGGGGAACCAGTTTTGGTCGTTGCGCGGCTCGTTCTCTCGCTGGACAGACCATAGCATATTCATTAGACTCCACAGAATCCTATTAATTATGATTACCTGTCAATGTATCTTAGAGACTATATTTACACTACCTACCTAGACAATTTAGCAGCAGCTTAATTAAAGAATGGTTTTTACACTATACAGTACACATTATTAGTAGGTATAATATAAAATCTCCATTAACCAATATCAATATTATAATAAAGGGGGAACTTTTATTTAGCAGATTCATTGTTAAATATATCTTCTAATGATTTAAGTAATCTATTCACCAGATTTCTAATACAAGGTTGTACAAAAAACATGGTCATATAAACTGCACAATTTAGAAAGCATAGAAGTTGATTGGGAACCAATGGCTAAAATGCAGAATGTGTATTGTGTAGGCAATTGTACTTGGGGTACAGTCAATTGGTTTGGTATCCAAGTGACTAATTTTACCACAACAAATTTCATATGACCAACTGAAGTAAATTCTTTGTACATACATTTCGTGCAATTGATTACCATTATATAAATAGAAAATTGCTGTAAGCTGAGAATAAACTAATAAAATACACAATATAAATGTACATAGGTATAAAGTAGTTGTGGATGTGTTCTAGTACGATACCTACCGTAAAATAGGTATATAATAATATGTATATAAATAAGTACCAAAAAAAAGAATCGTACCCAAGTGTATTTTATAATGTTACGTAATATAGTATTTTTGTCAAATAATATTGTTTTTATGTCATCCCATACAAAAAAATATAATTTAATATATATTTAAAAATGCGCGGGTAATATATGTTTCTTAATAATTATATGATAATATGATAATAATCCTTACTTTCTGATTGGTCGCTGAATTTTGCTCTCGATCCTCTCGTCGATTTACCGGTGTGTGATTACCGAACAAGCACAGGCACAGCCGATGCGTCTCGAAAATGGGTACTTACCCGAACGCGCACTACAATGGAGGCACCGTCGCCGCACAAACACGCAAACTTCGCCAGCAAGGGACACGCGAAAGCGATCGACGGAACAGGACAAACTGACAAGTCCAACAGCAACAAAAGCACCCACAATGGACGGTGCAACACAAGTGGTAAAAGACACCACATAAAACGGTACATGTACGAGACAACACGAAGCATATGAGAATATGAAGAAAAACGCACATACCATTCCGGTTCAGTAGGAGTATTTGAGTTGGTTACTAACGTCGCCGGTAATTGAGTTTTCAGTTCGGGTAACCCTTCGACATTGATATCTGGACCGGGCGCCGGCCCATCGAGCACCTCACGATATAGGATATCAGGCCCGTCCCAGTACAATTTATGATTTACCAATTCGGTAGGGAAAATACCCCGGGAAGCGCAATCAGCAGGGTTGTTAGCTGACGGTATATAGTCCCAGTGACAGTCAGGTAGCAACGTTGTCACCTTATGTATACGGTTTGAAACAAAAACCTTACATTTTTCGTGTGGTACCTTCAACCAACTCAAAAAAGTAGTTGAGTCTGACCACGCATACGTTTCTACTATTCGGATTTTAAGATTTAATGCAGTCTTAATTCGAACCATCCAACGAGCGAGTTAAACAGCCACACATAGTTCCAACCGTGGAATCGTCGACGCCTTGAGAGGAGCCATTTTGGTCTTAGCACCTATACTCTATTTCACGAGAGAACGGTACCGTTTCGCGCATGTAAAATGATTCGATTGGTGCGTGAACGACCACGTGATCACGCTTACCACTGATAGTTGGTGGGGGATGCGCGGCGGCGGACCCGTTTTGGTCGGCCGCCGCTACCTTTCTCTCGTGAAAAAGAGTATAGTCACGAAATTACCGGAGGTCCGGGGTGGTTAACTAATCTTGAATATACGACAGCGGAGTACCCCTTTTCAGACGCGTCACAGAATCCGCATAAATGACACTGTACGCCGAGTTGAGTACCAACATAACGATGAATAGTTACCTGCTGCAAAGTGGGGAGATCCGCAACGAACCTATCCCACACATCAACTATTTCGGCGGGCAACGGATCGTCCCATGAAATACCAAGTTGCCCCACGCGTTGCATCAACTGTTTTGCAAAAAATATTACTGGAGCTAATAGACCGGGCGGGTCGAAAATACGGGCGATTAAAGACAGCATGCCCCGTTTAGTTGTGATCAAGCTTTCTGGTTGAACAATATACAAAAACGTGTCGTCGCTATGTGACCACTGAATACCTAAGACCTTTGAACCACCACCGGTATCGTCATCAAACGACAGCAGGCCACATGCCCTGTCTTCGGGCGGTACTTTATCTAAAATCTCAACGGTGTTGCTTGACCATTTTTTTAAGTTCATTCCTGCCCCTTTTAGTACGCTTATTAAATTAGATTGAAGCGCCACTACTTCATCTACTGTGTCTCCCCCCACACACATATCATCAACATAGGTATTGAACATTAATGCGTCATGAACAGCCGGAACGTCTGTACAATCAGACTCAGCGATGTGTTGCAGTACCCGTATTGCCAAGAACGGGCCAAATTTACCCCGTATGTCACCGTATTTAATTTATAAGCTCTAAGTTCATCCTGCGGAGACGCGCGCCATAATATATGTTGGTAACGACGATGCTCGGGGGCTAGTAATATTTGCCGGTACATTTTATTTATGTCCGCGGTGAATGCATGACGTGACAGACGGAACAGCATGAGTACGTAGATAACGTCTCGTTGTAGTTTTGGGCCGAATAAACATTGATTTAAGGATGTACTTGAGAACGATTGGGCGGACGCGTCAAACACGACACGGATTTTGGCTTGGGGGTCAGAAGACTCGAACACAGCGTGGTGAGGTATAAAATATGACCCTTCAGAGGAGGCCGGGGACATGTCCTAAAGACAAGTATTCATCCATGAACTGGCAATACGCCTCACGAAGACGACTGTCTGACCTGAGGTTACGCTCGAGGGACTCAAAACGTTTGAGAGCGACAGCGCGTGATCCAGCAAAGGTGTTATCCGCAACTGACTGGCGGAACAACAGGGGTACTACATAACGTCCGGATTCATCGCGTGAACATTTCTCACGGAACATCGCTTCACAACGTCCGTCACACGTGAAAGTTTCGGGGGCAGTTTCTGGTTCCTCAACTTCCCAAAACCTATCCATTAAACATTCAATTGATGACACCATTGAGATGAAATGTGAAGTGGGAACATAACTATTCGATGGTGGGACGGGGCCAATTATTATCCAGCCGAATACTGAACCGAAAGCCACGGGGTACGAGTCACCCACGGACACCCGTTTACCATTTAGGATGCTCGCAAATATGTCTGCACCGAGCAGTAAATCCACCTTACTGGGTGCGGCAAATGAGCGATCGGCTAGGGCTAGATTTTTGTACTTATCTGCAACCTGATTGGATATCGACTGGCTGGGCATTTGAGCTGTGATTGTAGGGAGCACCCAGGCTGAAAACTTAATGACTGGATCGTTAGAAAATCTGGGCCAAATGTCGCAGGTAACCAATTCCTGAACATTTGGTACCGACATACCGGATAGACCAGATAGAGGGGCTGTCCAAAGTGTTACCCGTAATCCTAACTGGGAGGAGCAATCAGCGGTGATCGCGCTGCGCTTATCTGCGAAGCGGAGTCGACCAAGGCACGCACAGTATGCAACACACCACCACAATCACGAATGTGGACTAAAACGGTCCCTAAAATGACAGATGATGACTGCTGAGAACCACTACCAACACAAGACGATGGAGCTGGGGATTCTTCGCTGGACAATTGATTGTCGGATGTTGGACCTTGACTCCCCCCCTAGTGACCATGGTGACTTGATGTAACAAAGGGTGATGTCTGCGAGAGCAGTTGTCACATTGTACCGGTGACTTGCAGTCTGGGGACCAATGACCAACGCGCAAGCAACGAAAACAGCATCTGTTTTCACGAACCCAATTCTCACGGGTCTCTACGGACCAACCGGTAAACTTGTTACATGATGACACTGCATGGGACCCCTTACAAATAGGACAAGTGTTTTTTGACCTTGACGTCTCTGCACTAGACACTAACGATGTCGCTTGTGGCCGCTTAAAGCTACTAGAACCGGATGCGAAATTTTTTGAAGTGTATGATGTTTTTTGAGACACCGTCGTCTTTAATGTCTTGTGAGCCGAGTCATGTGGGACACATTCCAGAACATTAACACGCGATTTAACGAACGACAACAAGTCTTTAACGGTTGGAAAACTACTCGAAAATTGAGCTTCAAAAAGCTTAGTCGTATACGACGGCAAGCACCGCGACGCTACCGAAAATAAAATAAAGTCACCAAGGTTCGGAATGTTCATTGCATTAAGAACGGAGATTCCCTCGTCAAATGCCAACAGAAATTTATTTAATTCGACAAGTGTCTCATTCGGCGATTTCGGTGCCGACAACAATTTGTCTATGAGCGACGAAGCAACTAACCGCGGCCTATCAAAACGCGTAGTTAGTGTTGACCAAGCAAGCGCGTAATTTTCTCCGCATACCGGTATGCCGGTGATTGCTTCTAACGCTTTGTCTCTCAAACAACCCGCTAAATAATAAAATTTATCTATGTCCAGAAGATTAGGGTCTCGATGGACCTGGTTGGTGAAATGGTCACGAAACATTAGCCATTTGAAAATGTCACCATGAAAAATGGGCAATGGTATCTCCGGCAACCGGGCCGGTTTTGCATAAGTCGGTCTACGCGGAATTGAACTATCGATGCGGCCGCTACCTATCTGGGCTTCTACAACACTTGACGAAGTGCTAGGCACCGCCTCAGTCCTAACAACGTCTATATTGGCGTCCTGATCTACGTTTACGTGAGATTTATTCACAGACCTATGGTCCGCGATGGATTCTATAGATTCACTACGGAAAGAGACTTCACTACTACGACTCGACCTGTTACGATTAACAGTAGCCCGGCAAACAGATATCAAGTCCCGAAGTTCCGCGACCTGATCGGTAGAATACTCTGATTCTCAACCCAAGTATATTAGACTGTCGACCAGCGCATCACTGTCGAGTGTAAATTGCGACCATATATCATCGACTTCATCAGTAAGAAGCGATAACCAATCAACCAAACTCAAATCAGTTTCACACCGCACCGCAAGGTCGTGTATCGCGCGAATACGCCTAATGCTTTCCTCCCGTTTCAACACGGCCTTTTTCCGTACGTTCTCCGCAGCAAGCATTTCGGCTGACTCAGGCATTGGATATAATACTTACCAAAATACCACGTAGAATATGCCTACAATAAGCCACACCAAACCAACGTTATCAATCAGCCGTGCCGTTGTACAAAGTTACAATAAAGGTAATTACCCGTGAAGCAACCACGCCCTGCTACCAGAATGTACCACCAGGCTCCTACACAAGTCGGTTGGCCTAGGATGGTTAAAAAATAATATATTTCACCCCACAGATCTTGTAACTTTTTACACAGGACAAGTTGAGATTAATAACACAGGTGTGTAAATTTAGGCACCGTCGTGCACCAATAAATATAATATAATTACAAAGAGTATAAAAGCGGGCGCCCAATAAATAATACAATAATAATGATGATAACACAAAATAATAAATAGAGATAATCAGATAAAGGTGATACCGGTAACAATCAACGTGAACACTCCGCAGGTGATAATGACGACGACGCTCCCTCGACGGTTGGTGCCAGCCGGCAGGTTATCGACCTCCAGCAATACGACGGCCGGCGATGATAACAGGCCGATTTACCGGTGTGTGATTACCGAACAAGCACAGGCACAGCCGACGCGTCTCGAAAATGGGTACTTACCCGAACGCTCACTACAATGGAGGCATCGTCGCCGCACAAACACGCAAACTTCACCAGCAAGGGACACGAGAAAGCGATCGACGGAACAAGACAAACTGACGAGTCCAACAGCAACAAAAACACCCACAACGGACGGTGCAACACACGTGGTAAAAGACACCGTTGCTACAACGAGAGCGACGGCACCAACGTTTTGGACGACGGTCACGAGAGACCAAAGCACACTGCTTTTACTTAATAATATTTGTCGTGTAGGAACCGATTGTCACACTCCGGCCAAAGGAGGGGAAACGCTGGGGGTCCCCCACAGGCTTATCTCGAGCAAAGGTCACAAGCTCCGTGCCCGGGAATGCGAGATATCTGAACCGGTGGGTAATATATATCTTGAACACCATAAATGTTTAGCTTTTTTTTTAATGTATCTATATATCAAATTTTTTTCATATTAATGTTTATAAGCACATACCATATTTGCATTTATACTAAAAGTAAAGGGCAATATAAAAATATAAAATCACGAGACAATGATTCATGAAATTTATTTATTAAGGGAAATTTAATAAAATACTTACAACATAAATGTATATAATATTAGGCCTATACTATTATATAAATATCGAAAAATGGAATTAAATGTTATGAGCGTTGGTTTTACATTGGTTTTTTTCTCGAGCATACCGCTGGTTACCATGGCGAAACCACTCTTTTACATTTTCTTCAAAAACTACATCGGTAAAATCGAAATTAATCCTTCCAATCTCTACAAAATAGCATCCATAATAAAATATATGGATTTGAAACAGTATTTGATTAAAATAAGTTAACACTTACAAATTATTTGTCTCAATAATATAATAAAAAAATTAACTTTACCTTTTATAATATTTATAGTAACAAGATTTTCTAGGCGGAAGTTATTACGAAAGCCAGTCCAAGAACACTTTGAAGACAGTTCATTAGTGAATAAACGTTGTAAAACGCGTTTCACAAAATTGTTTAGATCTTTACCACCTACTGTTGTAATAAAACTTTTCTGAAAACCAATAAATATCACAAATATTAATATTGTATATTATAAAATTATAAAAATAATTAAAATAAATGATGAATTTATATTATATAACTAACTAAATAATAGTGTTATATTTACCATTTTTTTCACAAATTCCTCATCATTTTTTAATTTAGATTCTATTTGTACTACAGATCCAAAATCATTCATTGGGAATTGAGAATAAAAATCTTCATCTATGGACTCCATGTTTTTTGATACAGAATTTGATGATTGATCTTTCAACATTTTTTCAATTCTGTCCATCCTTCTATCAATTATCTTAACATATGCAAATATATTATTTATAACACATAAGCCTCCTATAAAAAACAATTACAATTAAAATACTTATTTTAATTTTAATTTTCTTCCTACCATAGTCTAATATTATCAACATAAATATGATAAGTACATTAATATGTTCACTTAATACCTATAAACTAATTATTAATTATATAACATTGGAATAATTAATTAAATAATGGCCTCATTAATTACTTAGTTCATTGATACTGTTACTGGACTGATTGATTAGTTAATGATAGTTAATTCCTGGATTTCAGAATCTGGTAAATCAAATATAGTGGAATGAGATGCAATCGTAGAAGGCCTGTTACAGTTTCAAAAAAAAAAAAAAAGTTAGTGAATAAATTAAATTTTTTCTTTTGAAAATATACTTATAGGTCTTCTACTATAAGAAAAACTAATTATTCACACTTAATTATTATTAATAAAATAAAATATATAGTTATTAATTATATTACATTTTAGGTAATACCTACCTAATTCATTTACACTGTTACTACACTCATTGGTCATGCTGTTTAAAGTTTGAATTTTGGAATTATTGAATAAATTAAAATTTGTAGGTTGAGATGCAGTGGTATCATGATCTGTTACAGAAATACTTTGGTTTAGATCTGTAAGAAAATAATATAACATATTTTATGTAATTTTCTGACGCTTTAATATTATGTACCTAGTGTTTTTATAATTTAATCAATAGCAACTTACCATAATGAACAGTGTTGTAGTTAGATGATGATGCACCACTGGTACTTTCCAACATAACTGTATTCAAAGCCTTTTGTCTTAACTCTTGGCATGTTTGATCCTGAATATTATGCAGTGTGTTAATTGCTACTGAAACATTGCATACTTTAATATATATGTACATATAATTTATTCAGAAATAGAAAACTAGTTAAGCTCAATGAATTATATGTCTTACTAGATATGATATTACTATTATTTTGTTCTTCACTGTGATTAGATATTTTAGTTGATATTATGTTAGAGACTTCATTTTTTTCCATTATTTTAATTCTAGATAAACTACTAGAACTATCTAATAAAATGTATAGAAAATAATATTAGGTACATTATTACTTCTACAAGTTTTTTTTATTAATAAAACTAGCTGATCCCGTGCACTTCGTTTCCCGTTAAATGTATGCCAACCCTTTATGACTCAAACTCTGTTCAATTCGTTATTTAATATACGGTGTTCAAAATTTATTCGTTAAAAATCGTACCTCTTCAATGAATAAAAATAACAAATATAATTACATATTTGTGTATCACCTCCCCGTCACCTGACTCGTCCTGTCCAGTAGATTTTTAATTTTGCAATTTTTTTGTTCCTACACATGTTATATTCGACGCAAAAAATTCTCCTGAACAGAACCGTCACCCTGGTGATAGTGCGTTGTGAATAAAAATAATTAAATAAAACATATATAATCATTTATAAGTAAGGAATTCCTTTTTTGTTAATCATTTCAATTATAATTATTAACAAAAATCAGTTATATATTCATTGTAGTGCTTTGTGGTATACGATGTTTTTTGTTTGATCACCTGGCGCATAGACAAACAAATCTGATGGTTTCCCAACACGGGAACAGGCAACATATAATTGACCATGTGAGAAACATGGGTTTTCCAAATTAATACCACAAACACTTATTGATTGCCCCTTGGACTTGTTTATGGTCATAGCAAAAGCAAGCCGCACTGGAAACTGTAGGCGTTTAAACTCAAATGGCACATCAGTCGGAATCATTGGGATGCACGGTATGAGAACATCCTCTCCTTTAAACTTTCCTTTCAGTATAGTTGCTTCTATCACGTTGTTCAGTAATTTTTTTATCGCTAACCGTGTGCCGTTGCACAGACGCGGTTGGTTGATATTTCGCAACATTATAACAACCGATCCAACCTTTAATTTAAGATTGTGAGGTGGCAATCCTGGTAAATCCAGCGAGTTTAAAAATTCCGGTGGATAGTTGACTACATCATCTTGGGTAGTTGCCGAATCAACTGATTTATATATCCTCGATTCACCTGTAATTTGTTCTTGAATTTTTAAATTTAATTCATTTACATCTATGTTTTTTGCAGCCAATATAGCTCGTTCGCTCAACCAATCATGGTTTTTGTAATTGCGAGCAATATCTGGATACACCTTTTGAATAAGTTCATCTTTTGATCGAGTTAACTGACAAAAACTTCGAGGAAAGTTAATGCAGCCGGTCAACATGTCTACATGAAATTTGCCAATACCAATGTCTATGAGTTGTTTAGAGAATATGTTTTGCAACTCGACACGCATATTCTTGCTTAAATGAAGTATTTTGACATGTTTCCACAAATTGGATGATTTTAGACATGCATTAAGTTCATCAGCTGGCGTTGATCGTGGAATCACTGGCAATGTTTGCCGAAAATCTCCTACTAATAAAATCATTGCACCGCCAAATAGGTTATGATTGCCCCGTATATCTTTTAAGGTTCTGTCTAAAGCCTCCAACGATTTTTATGTGCCATCGTGCATTCATCAAAAACAATCAATTGACATTCCTGCAAAACTTTTGCCATTGCAGATTTCTTCGAAATGTTGCAGCTTTGAAATTCATTGCTTTGCATATTTAATGGCAATTTTAGTGCTGAATGGGCTGTTCGACAACCTTCAAGCAAAGTTGCTGCGATTCCCGAGGAAGCGAGTGCAAGTGTAATTTTATTTTGTGAACGAATTGTTGCTAATATTAATGAAATCAAAAAAGTTTTTCCTGTACCACCAGGTGCATCCAAGAAATATATCCCTCCAGTATCATAATTTGTTACTTTCATAAGAGTATCAAATACATACTTCTGTTGTTCATTCAACAGTGGAAGATTTTTTTGAATTAATTCTTTCAAAGTGTTGAGATCGTACGTTTTTTCTCGGTGCACCTCTTTGTTAAAAACATCATGCATTGGACGATTGGGCGTGATCAGGCCTAATTGAATTAATAGTTTGTTTGACATCATCAAGCACATGTCCTCAATTGAAATCAATTCTTCGTTAAAAATGTCTTCATTGATTTGTATATTTAGATTTTCCATTCTATTCCGTATTTGATACAAAATATCATCACACATATGATCCTTGTACTTGATCCACAAATCGATTGGCTTTGATGGGTAGCATCTACATATGATTATAGAAAACAATGTTCGTATTTGTTGAGCACTTGATGATATTACAGCATCATTTAGAGTTTGATCCCAATGATCGTCATTTTCTAGCAATTGCAAACGTTGACAGGCTTCTCTGTAGGATCCACACAATTCACCATCAACAGTTCGTAAATGTTGGAATGATGTTGGGCCACGTACATTGACTAATAGCAGTCGTAAATAAAAACATTCATCATTGCTGGGATGTACTGAATAAATTCGACCAATCACATCGGTGGAATATACATCTGGGTATTTTTGAATTGGTTTTCCTTGTTTCCGTCGTATAAATTTCCTTGAGGATTTATTCCAAGTATAATATTTTTGCATTTCAGAATATAATAATGTTTGTGCAAAATCATCGTTTTGGCATGTCTCAAAGAAACTGGTTAATGTAGTAGAAGGTGGCTGAGCTGCTCTTTGTACTGCGTTCTGTGGTGTAAAATACACTCTTTGTCCATTTTCTAAATGCATAGCTAAATGAACAACTGAAGGGTGTCTATCATGAATGGGAAAAAAAAATATTCGCCAAACTGCTTCATTACTACTAACATATCGGCCCATTTCGTATTGGGTAACTTCATCATTGCAATTCTCTGCACCAATTCCAATCACAGCCATATCACTCCCTTTGGTTACATATTTGCAAATGTATTTAATGGATTTCACTGAATGGCAAGATTCAACGTTTATGTGTGCTTTGAACGTCTTTGATAAAATTGGTGAATATTGAACAATCCAACGATTATCTATTTCAATATCTTGTTGATTTAAATTTGACAATTGTTGTTCTTCCATTGTCTACTCTTGATCGGCGATGATACAGTGGATAACCATCATTGCCAGTAATTGTTTCTGATATTAACGTCCTTGGATATCGTTTTGAACATTTACCATCCATCATACACGGTGAATTTTGATTAAGAGTACCACATGGACCATGTATCATGTTTTTGATAACAACCTCATGCAATTCAGGATCTAATTGTACATTAGGTATTTCAGCTGATATCACTGCATCAACTTCATTTGGCCTTATCTTTTCAACCAACCAAATCAAAATGTGTGCATGTGGCAACCCTCGTTTCTGCCACTCCACAGAATACATCCAGCAGCGTGTCTCACCAAACACATAATGTTTCACGATGAAATCCATTAAAGATTTCAACTTTTGTCTAAAGACTCTGGCTGTAATGTCATGACGATCAATGGGTGATTGCCCAGGGAATAACTTCTGCTTGATTTCTATCCATTGTGGATTGCATGTAAATGTGATGAACAAATCTGCTGTACCATAATGACGAACATACGACGAGCATATTCGTGCATATGTCTAGGGCTTCCGATGTATGTTGCTGGAAGAATAATCATCCGACCAACATTCTGTGCATTTCCATCGGTATTAATCGCATCTCGAAGGTGAATATACTCTTCAGATCGGAGTTTGGTCTGATTCAACCTGATGAATGTTAATCTCTCCGTTTCAATTTTAACATACATGTCAACAACATATTTGTGATATAATCACCGACATTTCAATATGTGATTGTCTTCATTTTCCCGAATCATTAGGCGGTATGAATAATAGTTCATTGAACTGACTTTTTTGTTTGTTTCAGAACCTGTAAATATATTTTGTTTTTATAACATTTAAATATAAAATTAAAATACATAATATGGTTACTGATATATTACCGCCATCGCTAAACTAATATTTTAATTACCTGTAATTGGATTTATCATTTTTATTGAGAAATCATAGCCATCTTCACCTTGCAAAAATATAATAGGATATTGTAGTGCATTATATGAGCGGTGTGTTTCATTTATACGTTGTAATCGATAATTCCGACGATGTAAAACAATATCACGGGATTCCAAGTTTTCTCCAACTACAACGACAGCAACTTCATCAATGGTTGGTGCATTAAAACATCTTGCATGTTTTTTTAATACAAATTTTTTTAAGGTCTTCCCAGTAATTTTTTTTTATATTTTATTCAAACAATTACATTGAATAAATATTGTCTATAACATTTTCATGGCAATAAAAAAATATTATAGTTTTAATTTATTTTTTATATTTTAACGTTATCGCCTATCGGGTTCAAATCACAGACATCCATAGATATTTTTTGCACTTTTTCTACTTATTCGGTAGACTTTTCAAAAATGTTCGTTCATAAAAACCTTCTCCTGGCAATTCAGAACAGTTAAAAAAAAATTCAGCCAAGTTGGTCCAGGCGTTGTTGAGTTATGCGCTTACCAACACATTTTGAGATTTATTTTTATATATAAGATAATAGACTAAAATCAATTTGTAAATTGTTTGATAATCATTATTATTAAGTACCAGTATCAGTGTCGTTATTTTTCTTGTTTGACTTTTTTACCCTCTTTCCTCGACCAAGGCTTCTCTCAGATTCTGATGATAAAAATATTTGTCTTTCTTTTTGATAAGCTTGTTCATAAGTGTCTATAAGTATTTACGATTAACAATAAAAACTTCAATAATATTATATTATATTATAATAATTATCTGATAGAACAACATAGGTAGGTACCTATATAATAAATTAATAATATTATTAAATATTTTTTTACAAATAAATAAGTAAGATCAGTTGACTAATAAAAATAAAATAAAGGAGAATTAATATTAGATGTTTGAACAGCATTAGGTAGGTATTTATAAATTTATATTACAATTCTTAAATAATGTTAATAGAGTACCAATGCCTCACATGCATGTTGTTGTTTTTATCTTACCAAATATGTACAACATAGAAAAAATGCAATCAGCAGAATCCATATTATGTTGTTAGTTTTAATGTAAGTTAATTTACCTACTGTTACCCACTGTTGGTAAGAATATTATCAATAGCATATTATAATAGGTTTTTATTATTATTGTAATTTTAAAGCGAGTTTTGATAATTTTATAGTTGTGATATTTCACATAGCTAAATAGTTTTAACTCTTGGGTCAAGCAATGTGCAAACAGTACGGCCCTCATGTAGTGGTTATACATGGAAAAAAAATAGTTTTAACTCACTTAAAATTTTTTTATTTTTTTTATAATTTTTATTAGTAATATACAATCTATGCACAAGGGCATAATAAGAATATGTGCTGAAATAAGTTTTAACATGAAATAGGGTGAGGGAAGAAACCATAAACTGATCGCACTTCACTTTGCTTTGTAGCGAGCTGTGACTATTTAGCCATATGGGTTAACACATTATAATGTATACGTAATCATATAATATTCGCACCGCGTATATATAAGTATTATACTCGAGCGCTTATTCGAATAGTAATAATATAATAGTAATAATATCGAGCGCGTGACCATGAGCGGCGTGCGACAATAGATATATGACTACGTATATGGATAAACCTAAAATAATATGGTTAGATTTGTGCTGTTATTAATTATTGTTGAGTAACACCACAAATGTGCTATATAGATATATGTGGACTTCCGGCGCGTGTAAGCGTGTGAAAATCACAATAGGCTTAACCGCAAGACCATGTATGGTCTTGGAAAGTATGGAAGTGGCAAGGGACAGAGATCCATCGAGGAGAGCTGATGGACAAGCGTCCATCAGACGAACAACCAACCTCAACTTCGACAGTCACACCACTAAATACTCATAGTCACAACTCGCTTTTAGTTTATTATCTGGACTTAGAATAATTTCTATAAAACTGTTTTATATAATAAACACAATAAATACTATCAAAAGAGGTTTTGTTCAATTATTGCTTCCAAATCAACAAGTAACGCTGTAGGGCACGTTACAAATTGGCGCTGTGGACAGGGAGTCTCAAAAGATACTTAGAAGAAACCCGAAGAACACTTTAAAAAATTTTTTTCGAAATTTTCGAAAAATTTTTTGAAAAATTTTCATCTTCTAAATTCGATCAAGGAGGGAAATCCATCACTGGATCACCGTTGGAAGACTGATCACCTGCCAACAACTCCGAGAAGAATCCTGTACAACTACATAACATCCTACTACAATCAACATTACAACCAAACAAATGGAAGCACCCGCAGTACCCGCCGTGTTGTTGTGAGTATTTAGAGTAATTAAATCGTTGTTCGTCTCCTATGGTATATTATATGACCATAGTATATATTATATAAGTGAAAAAATTATTCGTGTTAAATTAAATAAGGGAATTATCGAGAACTTTGAATTTTTCGTGTTAAATAAAATAAATTGTGAGGAACTTTAAAATGTTTTTAAAAAATAAAATAAAATTGTTCAACCTTAGATTTAAAATAATAATATAAAATAATAAAATAATATTTAATAAATATAATAAAATAATAATAAAATAAAATAATAAAATTAAATAATAATTAAATAAACTGAAGTTTTAATTTAAAATAATTTTTTTTTATTGTCTAATTAAATAATAATAAAAAAATAATAACATATTGTAACTTAAAAAAATCTTAAACACTTTTAATTAAATAATATTTAAATAAAATAATTTAATAGTTGTTTGAAATTTATTTTTTTTAAATTAAATAACATTGAATAGAGTAATAATTTTATTTTTACAATAACGTCGCGAGTTAGCACATTTTTAATATAATAAATAATAATTTAATTTCGTAGAAATTTTTCAATCATTTAAATAAGTTAAAATAATAATTAAATTCTAAAATAAATTTCAATCATTCGAATAAAATAAGAAAAATAATTTAATTTAAAAATAATTCTACAATCATTAAATAAATAAAATAACAATTTTAGTCACTTGACCACTATTTTAATCATTTAAATAAAATAAATAGAATTTTATTTTAAAATAATTTTCATTTAAATTAAATTAAATAATAGTTCTATTTTAAATAATTTCCAATCATTCAAATAAAATAAAATAATAATATTATTTTAATTTTTCCTAAACGTTTTAATTAAAATAACTTAACAATTATTTGAAACTTAAATTAAATTTTTTTTTAGTTAACTAAAACAATAATTTGTTTTTAATTTTCTCTTTAAATAATTTCCATTAAAATAAAATAATAGTTATTCGAACTTGACTTAAATTAATAGTTAAATAAAATAATAGTTTATTTTAAAAGAAATATTCAATTAGTTAAATAAATAAATAAAATAAATACTCTAAATAAATTTCATTCAAACCAAATAAAAAAATAATTAAATAAAATAATATTTATTTAAATAATAAATGTTAATCCTTTAATTAAAATAAAATAAAAATTTATTTATTAGGACTTTGAAAATTAAATAACCATTAAATAAAAATAATTTATAAAAAAATTTTTTTTAATTGTTTAAATAAAATAATTTAATAGCTGTTCGGAACATTGAATTAAATAATAACGTAATAATTTATTAAGAAATAAATTTAATTTATTGGAAATAGAATAAAATTAAATATTTTAGCGAATATATATATTCGAACAAAATTTTTATTTTTCAGGTTGAGTTAGTGATTGATTAACTATTAAATAAATATAAATACATAGTTAAAATTAAATTGGGTTGAACAATTCATAAATCTTGAGTAATATTTAATTGAAATAGATCGTGTAATATTATAATAAATTGGGAATTATTATAAAAAATATTTTAATTATTTTAGGACAGTTGAGTCTTTATTGTTGAATATATTGAGAATTTATTGGGAATTTTTATTTAAAGGCCGGGAAGTAAGTCCTTATATTTTGTGAATTTTATTGAGACAATTGATGTCTGTATTTGAGAATTTTATTTAAAAGGCCGGGAAGTAAGTCCTTATATTTTGTGAATTATTTTAGACAATTGTTGTCTGTATTTGGGAAAATTATTTTAAAGGCCGAGAAGTAAGTCCTTGTATTTGTTGAATTTATTTAAGACATTGATGTCTATGTTGATTTTATAGGCCGGAGGTAAGCCCTAAGTTTTTGTGAATTATTACGACAATTGAAGTCGAGTTATTGAATTATTGAATTTATATAGGCCGTGTGTAGTAAGTCCTTTTGTGTTATATTTTTTCCGACAAGTGAAGTCGAAATTTTATTGAATTTATTTATAGGCCGTGAAGTAAGTCCTTTTGTGTTTTGAATTATTACGACAAGTGAAGTCGAGTTTTATTGAATTTATTTACAGGCCGTGTGGTAAGTCCTGAGATTAGTGAAATTATTTGAAGACAGTGAGTCTATATTTTTGAATTTTATTTTTATAAGGCCGAAATAAGTCCTTAAGTGTTGAAAATAGTAGGTTGATAAAATTTTTAATTCAATTAATACAGTTAGTAAGAGTTACTATTTAAGTATAGATGTCGTATGACTGGTTAATTGAAATAATGTAAAAAAAAAAAAAAAAATTTTTTTTTTTGATTAATAATAGGAATAATTATACTATTATTATTTAATTGTTAGATTAGTGATTTATTTATTTGATATTTTATTTAGGTAGATTTTAGTTAACGAAATAATTATTTACGTAAGATTAATTTATTTTACGCTAGTGTGTCAATTAAATCTTAATTCTATATTTATTTTAAATCTGATTATTTAATTTTAATTACTTGATTGTGACTATTGATTAATGAGTCAAAAAGAAACCAATACTAGTTTAACAGAAAGCGAAGCTGAAAGTATACAAGTAGTAGACCAGGAAGTTAGAGAAGTCGTATTAATTAAATCTGATATTATTAATAATAAGGATAGCGAATTAATTAAAGAAACAGCAGTAGTTGACGATAAGGAATTATTAATTGATTTAAGTACAGAAGAAGGTTATCAACATTCCAAAGATTTCGATAGGGAAAAATATTTAGAAGCTATTAGGGAAAAGGATTTATTGAATACAAGCATAAGACCGATAATAGTAAACGAAACTGAGCTGCGACAGATAGGTACTCGTACGCAGAAGGGGATAATACATACGCAATTAGAACACGTTAAACGAATCAAGAAAACCAAAATGCCAGGAAAGATTCCATTAGATAAAGCCACCCTCATGATCCCTACATGTACCGGCGAACGGGACGTTTACCAATTCATAAAAGCTTGCGAATTAGCATGTTCGGCAGTAGAGAAAGAAGACCTACCTATTCTCACGAAATTTATTAATACCAAGTTGTTCGACCAAGCTTTAAATGTGTGTCGATATAGGGACACTAGTGATTGGGAAGGTATAAAATTAATTTTATTAGACGCTTTCGAACCTCAACAATCCACTTCTTCATTGCAGGTAGCATTAAATTCAGTACGTATGAGAGGTAACGAAGATGTAGGTGCATATGCTAGACGTGTAGAACAGTTATATTTCAATCTATGTGTAGCAAGTACAAAGGGTAAAAGTACAGAACAGGCGAATACAATCCGCGATCAGTTAAAGGAACAAACATTAGTAGTTTTTATAAAAGGGTTAATACCTAGCTTAAAGACCATCGTGAAATCTCAAAAACCACCCACTTTAGAATTAGCTATACAGGTTGATAAGGATGAAGAAACTGAATTTAAGTCTGAGTCAGATGCATACCAATATTATAGAGGCAATAGTTCAGGTAGACAAGAAAACAACTCTAACGGGGATACCAGCAATTCTAATAGGCGGAATAATAATTTTAATAACACTAATCGTTATAATAATTATAATGCACCAAATAATAATAGACCTCAAAGTAATCAAAATCCAAATTTTAACAGACCTGATATAAATCACATTAATAGAAATAATTTCAACAATAATCAATATCAGCCTCGAAACAATAATAATTTTAATCGCAATAATGACGTAAAAAAGTATCACGAAAATCCTACTTGAGGATAATATTTGAGTAAGAATGTAAACAAAATAAAATATATACTGCCATACTGGTCAATAAACCATTGGAGATTTTAATTATTAAGTACTATTATAATTGTTAATAATCAAATATTACTATTAACCAACACTTTATTGTAATCAATAAATATTATATATGTAAACTAACATTTATTATTATAACATTAAATATTATATTAATATTGTATTGGAACTATTGTATTTTAATCAATTAATTTAATCGAATTACTAACAAATATTTTTATCTGTATTTAAATTTTATAATATATGTAACATTATTGTATCAATTTAATCAATTGTAATACTCTAGACGAGTAATCTAAAAAAAAAAAAAAAAAAATGTACTAAAAATTATCATGTAAATTGTCATAATAAGACAATGATTAATTATTTATATATTGTATCTGTAAACTCATGAACTATGTAATTTATGTAAACCAATTGTAAACTTTTATCTATGTAAAATTTTAAAGCTTTTTGTAGCCCTACAAAATTGTAGCCCCACAAAAACCTTTGAAAGGGCGGTGAGGTGTAGCGAGCTGTGACTATTTAGCCATATGGGTTAACACATTATAATGTATACGTAATCATATAATATTCGCACCGCGTATATATAAGTATTATACTCGAGCGCTTATTCGAATAGTAATAATATAATAGTAATAATATCGAGCGCGTGACCATGAGCGGCGTGCGACAATAGATATATGACTACGTATATGGATAAACCTAAAATAATATGGTTAGATTTGTGCTGTTATTAATTATTGTTGAGTAACACCACAAATGTGCTATATAGATATATGTGGACTTCCGGCGCGTGTAAGCGTGTGAAAATCACAATAGGCTTAACCGCAAGACCATGTATGGTCTTGGAAAGTATGGAAGTGGCAAGGGACAGAGATCCATCGAGGAGAGCTGATGGACAAGCGTCCATCAGACGAACAACCAACCTCAACTTCGACAGTCACACCACTAAATACTCATAGTCACAACTCGCTTTTAGTTTATTATCTGGACTTAGAATAATTTCTATAAAACTGTTTTATATAATAAACACAATAAATACTATCAAAAGAGGTTTTGTTCAATTATTGCTTCCAAATCAACAAGTAACGCTGTAGGGCACGTTACAGCTTAAAAACTTAAAATTAAAATTAAAAAAATAAAATAAAATCTTATTATAGGTATATTACTATATTAGCTGGACATTATTCTTGCCTTTAAGGTTTATAGTAGGTAAATCATAGACATAATATTATAATGTCTTTAATGTAAATTTACTCTAATATTATAGATAACAACATACATTGAATTCTGCAGAACAATAATGTTCTATGTTGTATGTCAGTAAGACAGAGACAACACACACAAAAATGATGCGTCAAACAAATACCTACATTATTAGAATTATTATAGTTAAGTACAAATGATTTATACATACCAAAAGTAGCAATAATGGTAACTGGGTATGATAACCAGTTAGATTCTGGGTTGATAGCTTTCAAAAGCATTATATCCGTGACTATTTGTTTAGCAGGCCATTTACATAAAAAATTACCATTGTCACCTCTATACACCCAGTTACTTGGTATAACTGAATACATATTCTCTTCTTCGAAAAAACCAACTAACCACTTGAACAATTTTTGAAACATGATTTATATTAATTTATACTAATTTTTCATAATTAATTATTGGTAGGTATCATTGGTAGCTATGCTAGGTACCTATTTTAGGTATATAAATCACGAATTAAGATATACTATAGTCCATTCAGAATAAGAGCACACCAGATTATGTAGCAAAACCAGTTAGGTGTAGTCTTATTCTGAATAGAGTATAGAGTATCTTAATTTGTGGTATAAATGCAAATATGTTTAACCTGAACTGTTTTATGTGTTGATCAACACTTGTCTTATGATAAAACAAAAATGAACACAATTATTAAAAATTGAAAATGTTATTAACAAAGACCTCCTTATTGCTATTTAGAGGAATTATTAAACCATAATATAATAATAGGTTATAGGTTAGGCTTGTACATATAATAAATAATTACATATTATTACTTATGAGTTATTTACTTATGTAAATTTAAAGTTAATAGGTAGATACCTACCTGTTTTTTTGAAGTATCCATGTCCATCATCTTAGAGTTTTTAGCCGTGAGCGGTTGATATATGAGATCACTGAACAAGGGTTAAACACAAACAAAGTGTAGGTATACCACTATACCTATAATAGTGACTATATAGGTACCTATACCGGACTATAATATTATTATAGATTACTGAGGTATCGAACATTCGAACTTGCAGTACTTTTAAAGTTAAAACCGTATTACCGTATGACAACTTTACTGAGTTAACTAAGACGACTGAGTGTCGAGTGATTGATTGATCAAGATTCAAGACGCATCGTACGCATAAACAATAACATTCAAAAACTATAGACATAAATATGTATAATATATGGGGAAATGATCGAAATTTAATTTTGGGTTATTAATAATCGTAACGAAAATGAGATATGAGGCCATCCTATCAACTGCATTGAGAGGTTCATCGGCCCATATCTATTTATAATGTTATAAATAGATATTATATTATTGGTCATATCATTAGTATAATAAATGTATATATATACCGTGTGTTCAATTTTAAAGGTAACAGGAAATATTTCGATCGTGTGACATTGAATTTGAATCGGGGTTTTTATACTGTATATAGGACTTATAAATACATATTTTTTTAATAAATTCAAATTTTTATTTTTTTTTTATCAGCGCATGCGCAGTAAAATAAAAATTTCTTAAATAGCAACCACTATTTTGGAGACCGGATTTTGATTTCTTTATTTTTTCTGAACAACATTGATCTTTACAGTTTGTTGATATCTTCAAAATTGCCATGTTTATGACGGTCGGAAGTTTTAAAATAGTTAATTCGTAAATAATTGTGTGGTGGATGATATCTCTCGGGATATCGTTCAGCATAATGTGCCTCTGCGCCACGCGAATTTTGATGACATTCTCCAAAAATTAATTCCATATCGGTTTTTTCGGAATAGTTTGCCATTGTACAGAAAATAATGTGTCACGCGCGTTTTACGAAAAACGTTTGACTATTCACAATCAATTTTAGAATGCTATCAAAATATCTTATTCACACAGGTTAATAGTATAACTTTCATTATAATACTATTAAAAACAAATTAAGATAATAGTAGTAGATAATTTAGTAGTTTTAATAAAAATAAATTGTTATAATAATACCTATAAATACCTATAAATTAAGATAGACCGTTGAAAAATGCAATATTTACAAATTAACTATTTTAAAACTTCCGACCGTCATAAACATGGCAATTTTGAAGATATCAACAAACTGTAAAGATCAAAGTTGTTCAGAAAAAATAAATAAATCGAAATCCGGTCTCCAAAATAGTGGTTGCTATTTAAGAAATTTTTATTTTACTGCGCATGCGCTGATAAAAAAAATTAAAAATTTGAATTCATTAAAAAAATATGTATTTATAAGTCCTATATGCAGTATAAAAACCCCGATTGAAATTCAATATCACACGATCGAAATATTTCCTGTTACCTTTAAAATTGAACACACGGTATATTATATATATCATATAACTATCATATTATAATCATAATTTTTTTTCATTTATTTATATATAATATATTATATGTATATATATAGTTTTCATTATTATTTTATTAATACTCGCATAGAAGTTTTATTTGATATTGAAATCAACTTAATATCTCTACAAAAAGTTATGGTTTTAACTTCGTTTTATCAACTTCCAATAGGGATTAGAATCAGAACTTCTTTAAGCTGATACAAATTGAATGTCACATGTTCATACAAGGCTGAATGTCTTCATATACAATATCTATTAAATTAATTATAGAAGTTATACAAACGATGTTAGGTTTAAGAGATAAAATTATCCTCTCCGAGATGTTATGTTGATCGATTTGCACACAGGGAATATAATATAATACACCATAGAGTAAATAAAGACAACGGTATCGAGTTCAAATCCTGGACATCAATAAATAGTTATTGCAGTTTTTCTAATTATTCAGTTGACTTTTTACGATGCCCAGATCATACAAAAAAACGGGGTACAGGGTAGTTGTCAGAAAAATGATAAGAATGTTTAACCACGATTTATACCAGTGATCCAGCAGTGACGCCAACGTAATCAAAAATCATCGAAATAATAATTACAGTCGACATATAGACAACACTGATGACAAAATCTTAATAATAATATAAATAATATTATATAGGAATACAATTAAATATTTTAATATTTAATGTTTAATGTCCTTAATACCGCCTTTATAAACAACTAGCTGATCCCGTGCACTTTGTTTCCCGTTAAATGTACCAACTCTATATGACTCAAACATTGTTCAATGCGTTATTTAATATTCGGTGTATGATGTTCTAGATTTATCTTAACTTTTCTGTTGCCCGGAATAAAAATTCTGAATTGCAGCTGTACATTATCAGATAGGTAATTTACCTGCGGTAGATCGCGGACCCCGTGCTGTTTGTACGTAAGTGTATGATTTCACTCAAAAAGTACCAAAGTTATACTAAGTTTGATGTTTTTACTTAATTCCGCCTACCTATAAATCCTAACCTAACCTAACCGTACTAAAATCCGATGAATAAAAAAAACCAAATTTAACCCTTTTTAAACTAGCGTATCTTCTTCTCATAGGTCATTCATTTATATATAAGATATATTTACAAAAAATAATAATACAAATCAACAAACATGCCCGATTAACCAATAGCAACCAATATAATATAATACACCATAGAGTAAATAAAGACAACGGTATCGAGTTCAAATCCCAGACATCAATAAATAGTTTTTGCAGTTTTTCTAATTATTCGGTTGACTTTTTAAAAATTTTCTTTCGTAAAAACCTCCAACTGGCAATTACGAACATCTTAAAAAAAATTTGAGCAAAATCGGCCCAGCCGTTCTCAACTGATGCAATTTCGAATTTTTTATCTCCATTTTTATATATATAGATAAATAAATAATAATTTTTAATAAATTTAAATTTAAAATTTAATAATTATTTTGTAGTTAAAAATGTATAACATTTTAAACTTTTATAGCTAAGGATTGAATTTTTAAACAAAGGTTCTATGTAATTAGGTTATATATAAATTACTTTATTCACAATAATATCATCATATTATATACTTGGTATTTAGAATTTAGTCTTCGCTCAGAATTGTTTTTCTATTTTAATTAAGAAATACAGAAATAATAATAATATAATACAAAAATACATAATATTCATTAATCATTAATCATTATGCACGTGGACGTGGTCTTGATTTCACTACAATTATTTAGTGATAGTCAAAGGCTTTGAAAAACAGCATACGTCGGACTACACAAATTATTTTTAATCTTACAAGGTTGGCAGCACCCTTGTTGTCGTATAACCATAATATCTAACCGCCGGGTTACCATTCTTATCATTTTTCTGACAACTACCATTCTCCGAAAAAAAACGGTAGGTGGCCGTTCTTATCAAAATTACGATTATAATATAATTAAAAATGCAGTTAATGCCGTTTGTTACAAAAAAATGTCAATTCGACGTGCTTCTGAAGCGTTCGGAATACCAAAAAGTACATTATGTGACCATTTAAATACAAAAACAATTATAAGAAAGCCTGGTGGACAAACCATTTTAAGCACCGACGAGGAAAGTCGACTTGTAGAAGGGTTACTGAAATGTTCTGGGTGGGGCTTCCCCATGAAGTGCCGTGACATTCAGTTAGTTGTTAAATCGCATTTAGACAGATTGGGTAAAAGTTCAAATAATTTTAATAAATTCAATAATAATTTGCCTGGAAAATATTGGGTTGAATTATTTTTGAAAAGAAATAATACTCTCACACTACGATTTGGTGAAAATATTAAGCGTGTGAGAGCATCTGTATCGACAGCTGTTTTAAATGAATATTTTGATAACCTGAATGAAGTTTTAAAATATGTCCCTCCACATAATATTTTCAATTATGACGAGACAAATTTTGTCGATGACCCAGGTAAAAAACTTGTTGTGGTAAGACGAGGTACCAAGCACCCAGAAGTTATAAAAGATACCTCCAAAACAAGTATATCAGTTATGTTTTGTGTGTCGGCTGACGGAAAAATGCTACCACCCTACACAGTTTATAAGGCTAAACATATTTATCCAACGTGGATTGAAGGTGGTGTAGAAGGAGCAGGGTATAATCGGAACGATAGTGGGTGGTTTGATATGCCCGTATTTGAGGATTGGTTTGTAACATGTTTTTTACCTGCTTGTCGTAATTTGGACGGACCTAAGGTTATTATTGGTGATAATTTAGAGAGTCATTTATCATTAGAAGTATTTCAACTTTGTGAAAAAAATAAAATTAATTTTGTATTACTTCCTCCAAATGCGACACACTTGTGTCAACCACTCGACGTCGCTGTTTTTAGAGTCTAAAATTTAGACCGATTAAAAGATGTTGGCGAAATACTTTAGATACTTGGAAAGTTAAAAACTCGGGAACAATACCTAAATCTGAATTTCCCAAACTACTTCGAAATACCTACTTTAGAATCATTAAATGAAACTATGCAAAACAATATTAAGTCAGGATTTAGTGCAACAGGTAGTCGTACCCGTTCAATAAGCAAAAAGTTTTAAATAAAGTTCCAAGTCGATCTGAAAATAATGATGATGATTTATCGTCAAGGTCATGGACTGAAGCATTTGTTGATATTTTATCCGATGTAAGAAATAAAAAAGTACAGTAAAAAAATGTAGAGGAAAAAAAATCAATGTATCTGCAGGAAAAAGTGTAAGAATAGATGATATTAAAAAAAAGACGAACTACATGATATTGATGACCTAGATGACCCCGAAAGCGTTCGGGAAGAAAATTCAATTGATATTTATGCACCTTCTACCAGTGGGACACAAGGCAACGATTTCTCAAAAATAATTAACGAAGAAGATTGCATTGATCCAAACATTGTGCTAAAAAAGGGTGATTTTATTAATGTTAAATATGAAACAAATAAACGAAATATTATGTATATTGGACAAGTGGAAATGGAAAAATCTACATTGATATACGTGAATTTTTTGAGACAAAAAACAAGTGCACAAGAAGGGTCATATTTCGTTTTTCCACAAGTCAAAGATAAGAGTAATATCACAAAACTGCAAGTAGTACGAAAATTAGTGCCCAGTAAAATAATGAAACGCGGACGTTTTATTTTTGACAATATTGATACAACTAATTTTCATTGAAAAAATAAAATGAATTTATAATTTACATACCTACCTAATATAACATTTGTTGATATTTTTATAAAAGTAAAAAATTATTTTATGTGAAGTTTTTCAAAATATTGAATAAAATACGTAGTATTTATGATAAAGTTATGTTTTTTTTTTTGTATAATAATTCGTTACGTTTTTTTTTTAAAAATATCTATACTGTCCGAAGTCAACCATTGTAATTTTAACATCGGTTTTTAATGAAATTTAATACGTGTCCGAAGTCACCCCATTTTGCGGGTGACTCCGGACAGTTTTCAACTTTTAAAAAAAGTGTGAACTTTAAAGACTTTTATGATTATTCTTCTCCTACATGATTTCAACATACCTAAAGAATATTGCATATTTTTTTCATAATTTTAGAAACAATATATTGAGGTTAATTTTTGAAAAAACGTTCAAATCTGTCCGGAGTCACCCCATTTTACGGTACATAAGATTATATCAAATAGGTAGGCATGGCAATTAAAAATATAATACAGAATAAATATTTCAAATTACCACAATCTTCATTTTACAAATAATTTGTATCTTTAATGAACTATTTTCAATGAAATAAAATAATTGAATAATGTTACCTATGAATAGGTACTTTACTTAAGTTAGACGTATGTAAAACAGTTTATTTTATAAAGTCTTAGGTTTAAATTGTATATAATAAAAATTCACATGGCACTATCGTTGTGTCCTTAATTGGCACAGGTTTAGTTTTAAGGTCATCATACAACTCCCAGTGTTTTGTATCACGCTTCGCGTATGTTGTATGATGACCGATTGAATGCCTCAGTTTTGATTTTCCCTGACGAAATGCTATCACGCCACGAAGTTCGTATGTGGTTGTGTCACATATGATTATAGGAGAAATATCACATAAACGTGCCATAGAGATATTTGCTGCTTCACTACTACACTGATCATTTTCATCTAGAAATAATACAATATTTGAATGTATAATTTTTAGTAATAAACTTTAATTTAATTTAATTACCTTCCCAATAAAGGACGTCAATAAATAAACTCATTTTTGAAATAATGGTTTTAACAGACTTCATATTATCACAGCCAATTTGTGCACAATTTATGAAGTCTGTTTCAATTCGTTCATCCAAAAACGATTGCAATTCATCCAGACGGCCTTCCTTACCCATTTGGTATGTTAGATACATAATATTTCTTTCTGATTTATCACATTTGGACGATATACACTCAGTTATCTCTTTGGCCGATGGAATGTCACTAAGTATTGCTTTTATAACATGGCTTATCGTCGCATCACATGTCACCAAGGAGTTACCATATTCCAATGGTTGAACATCAGGAATCATTAATGACATTATGATATCCGCTCTTTTAATATATGTGGATTTTGATACTCCATCTTTAGAGAATATCAGAAATGAAATTCAATACCTCTACATGTTTAAACATTTTATTATGCATTGTTGAAAATTTGTTGCTATCACAATAAGAAACCTAAAAAGTGAGAAATACAATTAGTGAAAAGGAATAAGTATATATTTTATATAGATAATATGACATATATGACATAATATTATGTTATTTGTAGGTATTTGAACTTTTGGGCGTTCCTTACTTCAAACTTTTTTAAATTGCCCTTAAATAATTAAATATGTTACCATACAAATTCTAAAACTGAAAGATGAACCTATATATTTAGTTTTATGTTATTATATTACTTAAACATAATATTATATAATATATTTTAAAAAAAGTGTATTTTCTCAAAAAAATATTAATTTGTTCTCACTTAATAGTTTAAAATAAATGTTGTATTATCTACACAAATAACTTTCATTTTTGAAGTTGTAATTTCAATATAATAATAACTTTATTTAATTAACCCTTTGTAAATTAAATTATCTTTATATATAGTGTATTATATTCCTTGTATAGAATAGAGTATATTATAATGTATAATTTATAGACTAATTAATATTATATTGTATATTTATCAATAATAAGAAACAAACCATCAATAACGCCGTTAAAGCATCAAAAGCACAAGTATTGCTCAAAATTAATTTGCCTTCCCTTGATTTGCAGCTTTTTAATTCAGCAAACCTTGAACCATTTTTCAAAATTGGTAAGGTTTGTGTGCACGCCCAGAGATCGGACGAAACACAAAGCCGAAGGACCACTCGACGAGTAGAGTCGAGACCAAAATGTAGATGTTAATGGAACGGTTACAATATCAATATATATTGCCTTGTAATAATTTGGGTAGGCAACCTAATACACACGACGACGAATTTCCTCAGTATAGACACCGTGCAAGTGCGTACGTAGCGCTCTTGGTGGACAACAACTGCATTAATTGGGGGGTAAAAAGATATTGTGCTATTATCATATTTCATCAATTTTTTTCATCATCTTAACGACATAGATAACCGTAAGTTCGTAAGTCCGTGAGTCGTGATGAACGTTTAATTCATACAGTTATAATTAATAATATAAAATTTAACTCTCATATTAAAATGAACCAAAGTAAATCAAAAAAGATTTGTTGTGTGGTGAATTGTAGTAACACTTATAAGAACACAAACAATATAAAATTCTATAGTTTTCCTAATAAGTCTTATGAAAAGGAATTAAAAGAGAAATGGATCAAGGCTGATAATCGGATTGAGTGAGTATTATTACTTTTTTTTTTATACAAATTAATTATTTCGATATCTTATTATTTATTGTAATACAATAGAGTACCTGTATTATAAATCTAATGATTAACTATGGTTTTTAGAAAAATGGAAAATTATGGATCCCTAACCGTTATAGTGTGATTTGCAGTGCACATTTTATTGGAAATAATCGATCCTCTGATCAAAGAAGTCCATCATATGTCCCTTCCATATTTCCACAATTATACAAAAGAAAAATATGTGATGCAACCCAACAAGAATCTCGATATCATCGTATTTTAAAACGTCAAAAAAATATTTGTGATAGCACTGTTCTTAATTCTAATGATACAAATGAATGTTCTACGAGCCAAACAAGTCAAGTTCATACTAATAACATATTTTCAACCTGTGATATTAGTACTCAAGTTGGATTTGAAGTAATTAACACTAATCAATTTGTTTTTGAATGTTCATTTTTTGATAAAAACAATGTTAGTACTCAAATTACTTCACAACATAGTATATCTTCTAACAAATTTCAAGACAAATTTTTAATGAAGGCTGATAAATCTTGTGGTCCTGAATCAATCAATACTAGTTCGTGTTTATCTTGTGACAAATTTCATGGGTATTATTCAATTAAAAATGAGAATGCTCTAAAAGATTTGACTGGCACAACATTTAAAGTATTTGATTTATTATGTTCAATGAATCCTAAAATTTGTAACAGTTCAATTGATAACAGAAATAAATTGTTGATATTTTTAATAAAAATTAAACATGGTTTAACATTTGCAGCAATAGGTGTTTTATTTAGTATTCATAGAACTACAGTTAGTAGAATATTTTTCAAATGTTTAGAAATATTAAGTTTAAAAACTAAAAACTTTATTTTTTGGCCTAATAAAAGCATAATAAAAGAAACAATGCCTAATGCATTTTTAAAAAATTATCCTAATGCTCGTTGTATCATTGACTGCACAGAAATTAAAGTCCAGCAGCCACCTACAATCGAGCAAAGAGTTTATATGTACTCACATTATAAAGGATGCTATACAGTAAAATTTTTAGCTGCAATTACTCCAAATGGAGCTGTTTCTTTCATTTCAAAATGCTATGGAGGAAGATCTAGCGATACATTCATAACTAACGACTGTGGATTTTTATTTAATCTCGAACCTGGCGATCAAGTTTTATCTGACAAAAAGGGTTTCCTGGTATAAAAACTAATGTAGAAAATCAAAATGCAATATTAGTCATGCCCCCTATATTACATAATGGTAAGTTTACGGAAGAAGAAGTATTAGAAACGCATAGTATTGCCAGTGTGAGGATTCATGTTGAAAGGTTTTTTGCTCGATTAAATGTGCATGGAATATTAAATAAAGTACCCATTGAACTTCTGCCATATATAGATGAAATAGTTCAAATGTGCTGTGTCTTAACAAATTTACAATTACCAATAATAAAACAGTAATTATTTTGATAAGTTTTTTTATTTACTAAAATATTTCTTATTGCAATGTTAAAAATAAAATGTTAGTAACTTGTTTTTATTTAAATATATTTTTTTAAAAGTTCATTTTATATCATGATTATAATTAATTTATAATAAATCAAGTGTATTATTTATTTCAAATAGAACAATGTTTTGGCAAAAAGTACTTAAAATAAAAACATTCCAATTTTAATAGAATCTGTCTTAAAAATATATCATCCTTTTCTATACATATCAATACTGGTTGTATACTATTGTAAATAAATAAGTCACAGCTACTGAGTCCTGTCACAAACATTAGTATCTGACATTGAGTATAATATTGATGAGATTTTTTCAATATTATTTTTCCATTTTCATATTTTAAATAATTTAAATTGAGTACTCCAGTTTCATCATCAACAATAGGTTTTTTTTTACAGCTTATTGGACATTTAATTTCCAACACTTTATAAATATCTCCTTCTTTTGAAAGTACCAAACCATCTGGTGAGGCACAAAGCCAAGGATATTTTGCATGAATAATTAAGCCACATTTTATTGTTACTGTGTTAAACATCTCACAGTATACTTCAAAAGCGACGTTTCACTGTTTCAGTATTTAATCCATATGCTGTATTTACTGCTGCTTTACCAAACAAATTTAAATCTTCAGAAATTACTTCAGCGATATGAGTTTGACCCTCTTCAGACAAATTCCTGCAAGTTTTGATTTTGTGACATTTAGTAGCTGATATCCTTATTGATCGATATTTCTTCCACTGATCACTATGTGACTGTTCAATAGTTTCATTAAATATTATTTGTATTTTGTCATGTGTTACAACAACATCACTAAAATATATTTTGTGTATACTTTGATTCAAGGGAAAATTTGATGGTTGTAAATTATATGTAATATTACACAATTGATACCTGATAATGTTATTTATATACTGAACATTTTTTAATCTAATTTCTTCTTTTTCAAGTTTATTTATAATATCATTTAAACAATTATTACACTGTCTATCTTCTTCAGATATTAATTCTTCTTTTATTAATATACTCAAACTACATGGAATTGACAATATATTATAATTATCTACTAAGTCATCATGATTTATGCTTGCCATTTTAATTTTTTTTTTTTGATGGGAAAAAAGCTCATTGATACGTTTACCCTTTTTGTATTTTTCTTGTCCTATTTTTGTTGGTTTGCCCCATTGTTGAGGAAAATTGGTTTTGGAAAAACTTTCTTCATTATTAATATAGTGTATAACTGCAGCAATATGTTTACATTTTTCTGATGCCCCAGCTGGACATTCACAGAATCCATTCTTTACAGATCTATCGTTATCTAACTATAAATAATATAAATATTATATTATACTATTATGGAACAATATTAACTATAAAGCCTAATATCTTGGGTCATATATACATATATAATCTAATTAAATGTAATACAAAATGCACTTACTTCTAGCTTAACTTTCCAAGGTTCACATGATACAGATGTTTGTCTAATGACACTAGCAGTAATAACAGAAAACATATTTGTTGATTTTACTTCTGTAACCAAATTAACATGACCACTTTCTGCTAATTTTTTTCCTTTATTATTGGTTAAAGTAAAGTTAGAATGAATCGTTTGAAACCCACATTTTATTACTATGTCTTTATTAGACATTTTGTATAAAAAAATAAAATACCTACTTAACCATATAGTGTGTATTATTACGTAATAATACGACATAAAAATGCCAAAAAATTTTTCTATTATCTATGATAGTATGATTAATATTTTGTTTTTATAATGAAAGTTATTTCTGATAAGTGAAAATTATATTAATCGTAATTTGTCACACATAACGGATAAAAGAGCTCACATAGTCACATATTATTATTATAATGGTACCCTTAACTAATGCATGCATTGTCCACTACACAGCGCTGTGCGCCGTCACATGCACGGTGTCTATAGGAATGGGAGGTGTGATATTGGCGGAAACAGGATGATACAGTTTAGTTATGGGGGGGGGGGAGTCTCTGCGGTCGATTCGGTTTGGTGCAATGACCACAGAGCTCACATGAATTGGTTTAAAAACTTAAGATTAACTTAAAACTAAGGCAGACGGCTACACTGGTCGTCGCTCTGGTCGACTCGACGCACTGGAACACCGGAGGCGGCCTCTCACACCACTCGAGTGAG